TCACACACCAGATTAACAAAACTAAAAACTCGTTTCGCGGGCACACCATTCAAAATTGGCACTTCTCCGCGGGACGCACAATTTTTATTTGCGGGCCGCAGTTTGCACATCCCTGCTACTGCTATATCTGAATGATTTCTCAACTGGCGGACCGCGGTCCGAATCTGGACCTTTTGAGTATTCGATTCGGACCGCGTCTAATTCTTTATTTTGGATCATTGGCTACTTTTCGAAGTTTTTTTTATAAAATCACTTTTATAAGTTTAAATATATATGAAAAGAACTATAACGCCATAATAAACAAACTTGATTAGCTAATAATCATTAGTCGGCCTAGGAAGTGCGTGTTTAAGGATGCCGAAATATAATTTCAGGAAAGACCGGACCCAAATATTCTTGAAGTTTTGTATGCGGATCCTCCGTAAAAATAGTTGAGTAGCCCTGGTATATAATACAGTAAGGGCCAGGAGCCTCGGTGACCTAACCGGTCTTGCATACTGATCCTCAAAATAATGATCAACCAATTATTGTTAAATTAAATTATATTTTCTGTTGCTCCAAATGTATCATGATGTTGACATTGTTTGTAATAATAAATATAACTCTCTCTCGTCCGGTTATCATTCCATTTACCAGTCCATGTTGGACATAGTTAGCCAGTTATTTGTTTTCCGATGCATGGACTTGATGGCGGAAGAAGCCGTAACAGACCAGCGATTACCTGAACCACCCCACGATGGCAAAGAGTTCAGCATAAGGTGGTTCACGTAACCGATGGTCGTTTAAAACAGTGGTCGGCAACCACCGGGCCGCGGCCCATCGCCTGTCTGCAGAGAGGTGACACAAAAACGGAGAACGGCCATAATAAAATCTCTACAATCTAACCACAAACCCTACGACTAAAAACAGCACCCAACAGCAAACCAGACAAACACAACGCACTTGAGCAGCATGTCTGACTTCACAAACAATTACCATGTCAGTATGCCGCGATAATGCTGGGTCAGTTGTTTCCACTGCGCCCGTATAAGAGTGTCTTTCATCAGTTCGTATCTCCAACAGAATAATCATCGCTAAGAACGTGACTACTCCACTACTAGCTCGTAGCTAACAGGTCATGCCTAGTCAGTGCTAATTCTATACTTCAGAATCCGGATAATTATACACATATAGCACATCGGGTAAAAAAATTAGTTATGGCAAAACAAACATCAATCAATACAGAGTCAGAAGGGGTACAGGCATTGTTACCTTTCCCGAAATCTTATTAATGTGAGGCCTGGTTTTCAATAATGATAACTACAAAAACGAAATAACGAAGTAGTCCGGATGTAGAAAACACGTTACGTGTGTCAACTTCGGCCATATCTCCAATATGGGAACAGGTAAGCCAACAAATGCAGATATCGCACTAAATAGCATCACCGTCGTATTTAGTATATTGTCAACATAAATTTCCTAATGCGTATAATTTATTGCATAGGCTTAGTCCGTTTGCGTAAAGGTGGTCCACCAAAATTTTGGTCAGGCTTTACCGGTCCGTCACTTGGAAAAAGTTGCCGACCACTGGTTTAAGGTTTCCTCCATCATCGCTTGACCTGGTGTTTTCGGTGTCCGGAATTTATCGCTTAACATAGAATATTACGACTTTTTTTTAAATTTATTGTATTGTTTCGAAATAAAACCAGTTGCGACTTATATGGCGCTTGTTCTGGTGGCATTTCACCTGACTTGCTCATTAGACAGTATTTTCATATTTATCCCGGGGGAGATGGAAACCGATGAGATGCCTCAATAATTCTCGTCTTTATCAGACAAAACGGTGAGAGATTATTTGGCATGTTACTTGTTTTATATGCATATACTTGATGATAGAGGAAACCGTAACCGACTAGGGGCGCATGAACCACCCTGCGACTTCGAGAGGCCAGCAATACTCTCGCAGATAATTAACCCGCATGTTATGCGAACCCGCATTGGGTAATCAGAGGATATTTAGTGATTGTCATATTATCGACTAGAGCAGGGGAGTGCAAACTGCGGCCCGCGGGCGAAATGCTGTCCTCAAGGAAAAAGTGTGCGTTCCAATTTTGGAATTGTGGCGTTCCGCGAAACAAGGTTTTAAAATGTAGTTCAATCTGATACATTCGAGCAATTCCAATCCCTTTTGCATCGCAAAGCCTACTATACCCAGTCCAATTTATTATCTATATTTATGACGTTATAATGCCCTACAAGCTAGCTTCTGTTAAACATCGCGATTCAAAAAGCTATCACTTGCCGAGCAGCGAGCGATTTAAGGAAAGTGAAGAACGGATGACAATAACTTAGTAAGAAAGGCAATTAACCCAACTTAACCTAAAAAATGGAAAAGCAGTTTGAAAAATTTTACCATTGAAAGATACAGAAGCTAAATGAGTTTTAGTTTCAGCATATCAGTCAAATATGTCTAAGTCTTGCCTAGAATTAGATAGATTATAGAGTATCTGACCCCTCTGTAATAGAGGTTACACACCCCTAAGATATAGCATCGACATAAATGTGAGAAGCCGTGGTTTGCTATATTATTAGGTCATCTTATCAGCTTGCTTCTTTCCTGGGATAAATATGTGAATCCTATCCTGAGTAAATAAAAATGTCAAATATTATTACAGCGCTCCCAAATTCGCAGTTAACGTGACTACTCCACTACTAGCTCGTAGCTAACCGGTCATGCCTAGTCAGTGCTAATTCTATACTTCAGAATCCGGATAATTATAAAGTTAGCACATCGGGTAAAAAAATTAGTTATGGCAAAACAAACATCAATCAATACCCAGACCAGATCAGAAGGCATTGATACCTTTCCCGAAATCTTATTAATGGAGGCCTGGAACAGTTAATCGCCAGCCAACAAATGCAGATATCGCACTAAATAGCATCACCGTCGTATTTAGTATATTGTCAACATAAATTTCCTAATGCGTATAATTTATTGCGTAGGCATAGTCCGTTTGTGTGAAGGTGGTCCACCAAAATTTTGGTCAGGCTTTACCGGTGCTCGGAAAAAGTTGCCGATCACTGGGTTAAGGTTTCCTCCATCATCGCTTGACCTAGTGTTTCCGGTGTCCGGAATTTATCGCTTAACGTAGAATATTACGATTTTTTTTAAATTTATTGTATTTTTTCGAAATAATACAAGTTGCGACTTATATGGCGCTTGTTCTGGTGGCATTTCACCAGACTCGCTCAATAGACAGTATTTTCATATTTATCCCAGGAGAGATGGAAACCGATGAGATGTCTCAACAATTCTCGTCCTTATCAGACAAAACGGTGAGAGATTATTTGGCATGTTATTTGTTTCGTATGCAAATACTTGACTATAGAGGAAACCGTAACCGACTAGGGGCGCATGGACCACCCTGCGAGTTCGAGAGGCCAGCAATCCTCTCGCAGATAAATAACCCGCATGTTATGCAAACCCGCATTGGGTAATCAGAAGATATTTAGTGATTATCATATTATCGACTAGAGCAGGGGAGTGCAAACTGCGGCCCGTGGGCGAAATGCTGACCTCCAGGAAAAACTGTGCGTTTCAATTTTGGAATTGTGGCGGTCCGCGAAACAAGGTTTTAAAATGTAGTTTAATTTGATACATGCGAGCAATTCCAATCCCTTTTGCGTCGCAAAGCCTACTATACCCGAGTCCAATTTATTATCTATATTTATGACGTTATAATGCTCTACAAGCTAGCTTCTGTTAAACATCGCGATTCAAAAAGCTATCACTTGCCGAGCAGCGAACGATTTAAGGAAGTGAAGAATGGATGCCAATAAATTAGTAAGAACGGGCAATTAACCTAAAAAATGGAAAAGAAGTTTGAAAAATTTTCCATTGAAAGATACAGAAGCTAAATGAGTTTTAGTTTCAGCATATCAGGCAAATATGTCTAAATCTTGCCTAGAATTAGATAGATTTGACAGCAAAGTATTTTAAAATGATAGTTTTATTGAAAACACCTCAACCAAGATAACTTTCTACGTTTCACTTTCAAAAATGGCACCTTTTGCCTCCACATATTTGTGCGAACAATTTTGTTCTAAAATGGGCATCATGAAAGGGTTCTGTCGATCGGTTTGAAAGACAAACACTTGGAAAATGGACTTCAAATTGCTAGCACTTCCAATAAGGCAAATTTGGTAGTCGTGAAAAGTCAGCTGCAAATTCCTCACTGAATTTGTTCAAAGTCGGGGTGGTGTGACATTAGCTGTGAATAGCAATTTTCTTTAAAAATTTATGCGTTTTAAATCATCACTTATGTAAGGACTAAAACTACTAATATTGCCATAAGTTAAATCATAAAAAAAAAGTCCCTGCATGTGTGCGGCGTGCGCTTTCACCCAGTTATTTGTATGTGGCCCTCCTGTTTTAAAGGTTGCACGCCCCTGCTGTAACAGACCAGCAGTTACTTGAACCACCCTATGGATAAGATATTTATTCAGAGAGGGAGGGAGGGGAGGTGGTGGAAGCCGACGAGACGGCTTAATCATACAGCCTTTAGTCTATTTACCAGTCCATGTTGGGATTAGTTAGCCAGTTCTTTGTTTCAGCTACATGGACTCTATGACTGAGGAAGCCGTAACCGACCAGCGGTTACGTGAACCACCCTACGGTGGCGAGGTGCCCAGCAATCCTCTCACGCATAATTTTATCTTTGGAGTGCGGAATTGTACTTGAAAAAAAAAATGCAAGCGCGTATGAACAATAGAAGGCTATGCATGTATATTGTACTAATATAGTAACTTGAGAGAGCAAAGCTGTAGTTGGTTTGGCAATTGCAGGTTTTCGTATAATTAAGTTCCGTTGCGAATTTGGGAGAAAAGTGAACCTATTAAAATAAATTTCGTATAAACATTTGAAAAAAAGCAGTGTGATAGCACAGAGTTGAGTGCTGGATAATTCCCAAAATTATATCGGGTTGAAGTCATAACGGTAAGACAAAGAATTCTTGTAGACAACGAAAGAGCAGGTGCTAGGTTCTGCGGGGCCCAATTAGAAATCTGATGGCAGACCCCCTACTCTTCATATTGAAATTTATGGGTCTTTATATAAAAAAAATAAACATTTAATACTTGCTATAAAACAAATTTAAAGTAATAGGATGTTTTTATTGTTTTACTTTTAACATCAAGAAATGCAAAATAGACGATTTCATTATACTCTTTCAGAAAAATACTTTTCTAGCCATTTTATCAGCAAATTCATTTAAAATCAACAGCTTCAGCAATTTTGCGTTCTATAGGAAGGCATTGACAAACTGTTGAGTCTTTTAATTGCTAATGGCGACAGAACGATAATTTACTAAATTTACCATGCATAACAAATTAATATTATGAGAAAGATTATTTCACTTTATATTTGACGTTTTCAGCAGTATTTTGTACCTCATAATACAGATAAATAATACAGGAAAAGACTAGCGCAGGGTGCGGTGCCCAATTTGATAAAAGCGGCCATATCGGCTTGAAACCAGCCTTGAGGAAGAGATGTTACATCTTTGTTCAAAAATGGTTCCATCTAATAAAGTATTTTTATTGGCATTGGAAAATTTATTGGGGAATATCATTTATGTCAAGCGTACAGCCAGCATTCGATTGCTACTCCATGTTTTGCGCTCAATGGTATTTTATTATTTTTGCTGGTTGCCTCTTCAGCAACAGTGTTTGGGTACACATTCATTTGCATTACGTCGAAAATTTAAAAATTATGTAAAGCTGCAATTGTTACGATACCCAATGAATTGTCTGTCGCAAGTCGGAAAAAACAAGTTGATTTATTGAAAATATAATTCATACTTTTTCCGCTTTTTGGCAAATATTTTAAAGTATCAACTTTTTATTAGGATGATTTTCTGTTGAGCAAAATATTCAAATCTATGACCGATACCAGCATGCCTTGCCGTATTGATTTAGCTCTTTTCAACATAACTCATGGTTAAAAATAAAAGCATTAGCCAGCCTGCTACTCTAAAATTTCACGGCTATCTGTTGACATAAAATGTGTGGTAAAATGCTAGATAATTAATTTTTGATTCGTATTTTCATACTTACGAAAATATAAAAGCATTAATAGTCTAACACGGCAATCCGTGGGCATAAAATGTCTGGTCAAATAGCCAGGTTGTAGTAACGGTCATTATGAAATATTTGATGAAATAAATGAAAATCAAAAGAAATTTCCATAGGACATAATGCGATAAACGGACCATACTTGCTAAACATTATAGACAGAATTGAAAAAAATAATTAAAAACAAATTGCTCGAAAATTTTGAAACAAAACGAAAAGTGATTATCTCAGACGGCGTCTGTGACTAGCGAAGAAATTTAACCCCAGTATCAGCAATCAATGCTTTGAATCTTTCCAACTGATCCTCGTTGAAGTAGCAAAACCACATGTACAAATTTTCAACCCGGCATCGATGAACAATTTCACTGATTGCAGATAATCCTTCATCTCCGAGTTTGCTGACTTTGTTCAAACTCAGATCCAAGCTGTCGATCTGAAATGATACATGTTGTTATCATATAATATTTATAAATTGATATATAGGTCATGGTTGCGATGCATATAGGTCGGTTTGCTACTTTAGTATTTCCCTTGAATACTCCAGGTACTTCGACAGGCAGATTAGAAAACCTATCAAAAATTTGTCCATCTGACATTGTGGAGCAGAAAGTGGAACAATAATACTAACTCTATATCTAACTCTAATTTTTTCCAATTTTAATAGAGAATCAATGCAGAGAGACAGGAAATATAAGCGCAAAGATAAATAAGCCTATCTTCCATGTCAGATTAGAAGTCTTGGCAACAAAACGCTCATCTGACATTGTAGAATAGCTATCCAACTTCACCAGAATCAACAGGGCGAAGTGTTATAAGAGGATAGAAAAATGGCAAAAATATAGACCGCAATAAAATATAAATTTTTTCACATGGCCTCAAGTAATTTGTGAAACTGCAAAGAATATAATTGTATTATTTTCTCTTGCCTACCAGGCTAAAAGTTGTTTATCTAATAAAACCTTCATACACTCATTATCACTCCGGAGAATATAAAGCAATTGCTTATAAGTATAAGTTTATTTCGACTCCATTATCAGCATAACAATAACATGATTGGTAAAAAAAATAAATAAAAACTGAATATGAAATCAGGAGAGCAAACAAAACCTTAGATAAGGTTTAAAGCGTACGGTATATAAGATGGGAGGTTTTGCCAAAAAGAAGTGATATGTGCTCACTCACCTAAAATAATTGAAATATTCCACACGCTCACACAAGTGATTACACAGTGCGGAGCTTTCACAAAACTTAGTGACTCAAGCACAGGACCAATTAATTATTTTTCACATTCATAATTTTCTTAAAAACTTTATACGAATGATAAAATGCATTATTTTTCAGTTTTATTTTATTTTTTCAACAGTTAATTTCTGTTTTATGTTAGAATTTCAGAGTTGAATTTGTATAATTAAAATTTCCATTTAATATTCCTTTAATTTAGAAAATTATTCTAATAGGCGTTGGTCATAACTGTATAGATATAGATGTTTCTGAAAAATTGTTCATATACTTTAGTATTGCAAAATTTGTGATGCCTAATTGGGGATTGTTTTGGCGATATGGCGCTTACAAACTGGTTTAGAGAAAATCTACGATAGACTGGGCATAAATCAGCTAACAATCTGTTAGCGGCATGGATGGCTCTAAACAGGTTGTTAGCTAATTTATGCCCAGTCTATCGTAGATTTTCTGGGAATAATTTTTATTGCATTAAATTGGAGCGCGTAGGAAGTTATAACGACATTTAAGATATTCAATAAACAACTTATTTATGAAAAAATTGTTACGTTATTGTTGACCTTTTAGTGATTGGTCACTGTTCCTGAAATAAACAAGAAAATCGAAGCTCGGGAAAAATACCCATTACATCACAGATTAAAATTTTCAGATTCCATTCCTATGCCCTCCACCTCATGGTTTGTTAAATAGTGTGGGCAATGGTGTACCTGAAATATTTCAGTTTGTCAAACTCATCAATGGCTGCTTGTACAGAGTTTTATTACGTGTGTAAAGCATGTGATAATGTCGTATAATACAGCAATCTCCAAAACATTTGGGTGTAGCTGCTCGATAACCAGTTTGATTCGTCGCGACTTCTCTTCCCCAGTAAGTAAATTATATTTTTTGTCGTAATTTATGATTGTGATATTTTTTACTGGTTGAAAAAATAAACTTGACTTGACATTTCTAAATTGTGGCAAATATATGTTTAGGTATGTGAACTGGTTTTACCTTTGCATTACGAGTGTTTTCCTTGAATACTTTCATTCCTTCGGCAGTCAGATTGCATCTTGGAGCTCTGAATTCATTCACCTGACATTTTGAAACAACTAATCCAACTTCACCAAAGCCTGAAGTGCCAAGATTCTTGTTCCAACCGACATCTAGTATATCCAACTGAAATAAATAAGATCAGTGAACTAATCTAAATGAACTGGGTCACAAAATATGATCTTGACAAAGAATAAAATTAGGAGTAATAAAAAAAAATATAAATTCTGATAGATCAAAATAGACAATTTTTTTTATTATTTAGAATCCAACAGTCTGTTGTGTTGATGAAAATTCAACCCAAACAAAATCTGATAGCTCAATAAAATTTTCCCAAGAAATATATACTACATGAAGAGAAAGTTTCTTGGTAATTAAGCTTTTTTTTGATTACCAGAGACCAATTCCGTAAAATTCTATTGAAAAAATATTCGCATACAAAATAGAAAAAAAGCAGTATTTGACTTTTTTATAATTGGCATTTTGTTTATGTTAACTTTTATATACAGTTGTTATTGCAGTTGGCAATAGTAAAGCATTGCCTTCAAAATAGGAAACCTCCTCTCATCAAACAAAAATGAACAGTCTCTCAGATATATAAGCAGGACTGTCACTGCATGGATAGAGCCTACAACATTAGTTTCCAACATTTTACCCCTGCGGACTGGCAACACAAAAAATATGGCTCATGGACCAGTCAAATTTTCGAAATGAATGGAACAGATGTGTTGTTTCGATCAAAATATTTTGTAATGAATGTCTGATTAAATACCAACAAATACGATTATTTGCCACAACTTTAAAATCCTGGCAAGATATTAATTGAATTAAATATTTATTCATCTAACATTGTAAAATAGCTATCCAACTTAACCAAAATCAGCAGTGAGAAGTGTTATCAGGGAATCGAAGAAAAATGGCAAAAATATGCGCCGCTAAGAAAATAAAAACATTTTCACGCGACCGCAAGTAATTTTTGAAACTGCAAAGAATATTCCTATATTGTTTTCTCTTGCCTGTTTCTCTAATAAAAGCCTTTATACACTCACTATTACCCCAAATAATATAAATCAATTACTGAGATATATATCACTCCGTTCAACGATTTGCTAATTGGGCTAAGCACTGCGGAAAAGGGTCCAAGCTGTGATGTCTTGTTGGAGCTGGAGCCAAGCCTATCATTTTAGCTGGAAGCGGAGCTTCCAGGAAATTCAGTGACTCAAGCTCGGGACCAATTAAATATTTTTCACATTCATGATTTTCTTAAAAACTTTATACAAATTATGAAATCCATTATTTTTCAGTTTTATTTTATTTTTTCAATAGTTAATTTCTGATATTATGTTACAATTTCAGAGTTGAATTTGTATAAGTAAAATTTCCATTTAATATTCTATTAATTTAGAAAATTATTTTAATAAGCGTTGGTCATAACTGTATGAATATAGATGTTTCTGAAAAATTGTTCATATACTTTAGTATTGCAAAATTTGTGATGCATAATTGGGGATTGTTTTGGCGATATGGCGCTTACAAACTGGTTTAGAGAAAATCTACGATAGACTGGGCATAAATTAGCTGACAACCTGTTAGCGGCATGGATGGCTCTAAACAGGTTGTTAGCTAATTTATGCCCAGTCTATCGTAGATTTTCTGGGAATAATTTTTAATGCATTAAATTGGAGCTCGTAGGAAGTTATAATGACATTTAAGATATTCAATAAACAACTTATTTATGAAAAAATTGTTACTTTATTGTTGACCTTTTAGTGATTGGTCACTGTTCCTGAAATAAACAAGAAAATCGAAGCTCTGGAAAAATATCCATTACATCACAGATTAAAATTTTCAGATTCCATTCCTATGCCCTCCACCTCATGGTTTGTTAAATAGTGTGGGCAATGGTGTACCTGAAATATTTCAGTTTGTCAAACTCATCAAAGGCTGCTTGTACAGAGTTTTATTACGAGTGTAAAGCATGTGATAATGTCGTATAATACAGCAATCTCCAAAACATTTGGGTGTCGCTGCTCGATAACCAGTTTGGTTCGTCGCGACTTCTCCTCCCCAGTAAGTAAATTATTTTTTTTTTTCGTAATTTATGATTGTGATATTTTTACTGGTTGAAAAAATAAACTTGACTTGACATTTCTAAATGATGGCAAATATAGGTTCAGGTATGTGAACTGTTTTTTTTCTATTTATTTGATGGAAATGTAACCCAAACAAAATCTGATAGCTGATTAAAATTTTCCTAGTTAATCAAGACATATATACTACACGAGGAAAAGTCTTTTTGGAATACCAGAGACCAATTTTGTAAAATTCTATTGAAAAAATATTCCCATACAAAATAGAAAAAAACAGTATTTGACTTTTCGAAGGGTCACTTTATTCAAGTTGACTTATACAGTTGTTATTGCAGTGGGCGATAGCAATGCATTGTCTCCAATACAGGAAACCTCCACATCGAACATAAATGAACAGTCACTCAGATATATAAGCAAGACTGTCACTGCATGGATAGAGCCTGGAACAATGGTTACCAATCATTACCATGCGGACTGGGAACATCCAAAAATACGATTAAACACTAAAAAATATAGGTTTATTCGCCAAAGCGTTAATCCCGACAAGCGGTTAATTTAAAACGATGACTAAAAGTTGAGTGATATTCGTTTTCATGGTTGCTTTGGCGATCATTCAAGAACAAATTTGGAATAGAAAATATGGGCAAATCAAATATCACGACTAGAGATATGAATTAAGTTTTTTTTTTGAAACAACAGAAAACTGCAAATAACGTGCAAAACCATAAAAACAAGGCAATGCTCACAACTATGCCGAATATTTGTCTGAGCAAATTAAGTGTCTGAGCGGGTGCACATATTGCATATCCATTGCATCATAGTGTTTAAAACTCTCAGATTCCGCTCCCATGCCCACCACCATTTATCAAAAATTCAACTGTCTGTTGTTCTGATGGAAATGTAACCCAATCGAAATCTGATAGCTGATTTAAATTTTCTTCATTATTCAAGACATATATACTACATGAAGAAAAAGTTTCTTATTATTTAGGCTTTTTGCAATTACAAGCGACCAATTCTATTTGAAATGATATTGGCGTACATGTAGAGAGAGAAAAGGGGTATTTCACGTTTCAAGAGGCATTTTGTTTAGGTTACCCCTGCTAACCGACAATACGCAACAATATGGCTCATGCACTAGCAGTTAAATTATGAAACAGGCGTGTTGTTTTGATCAAAATATTTTGTAGTGAATGTCCGATTAAACACTAACAAATATGATTAGTTGCTGAAGTGTTAATCTCGGCAAGCGGTTAATTAAAGACGATGTAACAAACTTGAGTGAAATTTGTTTTCATGGTTGGTTTTGCGATCATTCAATAATAAATTTGGAATAGAAGATATGGGCAAATGAAATATTACGACCAGAGATATGAGTTTAAGTACTGTTTTTGGAACAACAGAAAACTGACAAATAACACGCAAACCCATGAAAATGAGGCAACATTCACAACCATGCTGAATATATGTCTGAGCGGAAGAAGCATCTTGAGCGAATGCACAAATTGCAATTGTTACGTTATTGTTGACTTATTAGTGATTAGTCGTTGTTACGGAAATAAACAAGGAAATAGAAGCTTCAGATCCCACTCCCATGCCCACCACTACAGAGTGAGATAAATTGAATGGGCAATGCTGAAACCTGAAATATTTCGGTTTGTCAAACTCATTAAAGGCTGCGTTCACAGAGCTTCGTTCTGAGCGTAAAGCGTGTAATATTGTCGCATAATACAGCAACATCCAAAACATTTGGGTGTCGCTGCTCGATAACCAGTTTGGCTCCCTGCGACTTCCCTTCCCCTGTAAAATTGTGTAAATTTTTTTTTTCGTCATAATTTATGATTGTGATATTTTTTACTGATTCAATGTTAATTTTTATATACAGTTGTTATTGCAGTTGGCAATAGTAATGCATTGCCCTCAAAACAGGAAACCTCGGCATCAAACAAAAATGAACAGTCACTCAGATATATAAGCAGGACAGTCACTGCATGAATAGAGCCTACAACATTAGTTTCCAACCTTTTACCCCTGCGGATTGGCAACACAAAAAAATATGGCTCATTGTCCAGTCAAATTTTCAAAATGAATGGAACAGATGTGTTGTTTCGATCAAAATAATTTGTAGTAAATGTCTGATTAAACACCAACAAATACGATTATTTGCCACAGCTTTAATCCCGGCAAGCGATTAATTAAATTAAATATTTATTCATCTAACATTGTAAAATAGCTATCCAACTTAACCAAAATCAGCAGTGCGAAGAGTTATCAGAGAATACAAGAAAAATGGCAAAAATATAACCGCTAAGAAAATAAAAACATTTTCACCGGGCCTCAAGTAATTTGTGAAACTGCTAGAAATATTATTGTATTGTTTTCATTCTCTTGCCTGTTTCTCTAATAAAAGCCCTTATACATTCACTATTACCCCAAATAATATAAGTCAATTTCTAAGATATCACTCAGTTCAACGATTTACCAATTGTACTAAGCACTGCGAAAAAGGGTCGAAGCTGTGATGTCTTGTTGGAGCTGGAGCCAAGCCTAACATTTTAGTTGGAGGCGAAGCTTCCAGGAAATTTAGTGACTCAACCTCTCGACCAATTAATTATTTTTCACATTCATAAATTTCTTAAAAATTTTATACCAATGATAAAATCCATTATTTTTCATTTTATTTTTTATTTTTTCAACAGTTAATTTCTGATATTATGTCACAATTTTCAGAATTGAATTTGTATAATTAAAATTTCCATTTAATATTCACTTAATTTAGAAAATTATTTTAATAAGCGTTGGTCATAACTGTATAGATATAGATATTTCCGAAAAATTTTTCATATACTTTAGTATTGCAAAATTTGTGATGCATAATTGGGGATTGTTTTGGAGATATGGCGCTTACAAACTGGTTTAGAAAAAATCTACGATAGACTGGGATTGAATTAGCTAACAACCTGATAGCTAACAACAAGATATTTAATAAACAACTTATTTATGAAAAAATTGTTATGTTATTGTTGACCTTTTAGT